ATATATATATATATATATATAAAAGTAGTTGTTCAATAATCAATATTTATTTAATTTCTAATTATTTTATTATTTCTTTTATATTAAAATTAATGAATTATCTATAGGAAAACCTTCCTTATTTATTAATGAAGACGGATTAAAGAAGAAATTAAATTCTGATTTTATATAATTATAAATGACGTATTATATGTATAATTATATAACTATAAGAATTATAAGAAACTTTATTTCTTGATAAGCTTGTTAGAAATCAGCTCGTTAGAATCATTATGATAATGCATAAATTAAATTTCAGATTAGTTTGTATTAATTTGCAATTGTTACGTTATTGTTCCTCGTATTAGTCATTATACATGCGTAACGCAAATATGAGGAAAATCGTGTGATGGATCAAGATGAGACATTGAGCAATTGTTATCTCCGTAAACTTAATAATTCATTACTTTGTCGGGAATAACAATTACATTTCATTTAAATTAAACAAACTTAAATATTGATAAATAGATTATTAGGAACAATTGACGTTGAAAGTTAGATTAGATTATTAATTATAGATTAGATAATTATTCCTCGTTTTTTTAAAGAATTATACCATTATGATAAAATCAATTGAAAAACTAATAGACGATCTTTTTCTATGATAAAATTATATAGCACGTTTGTGACATACGTTTATATTTATTTTTAAGAATATATGAATTATTTTTTGCAAGAAAATATATAAGTATTTGGTTTAAATCTTATATTTGGTTTTATCTTATTTTCGCTCAGATATCAAGGTTTCCAAATTCTATTACGTAAGACGTACATTTTGCTTATGTGAATAAATGAAAAATTAATTGCGCGTTGAAATACGTCGCACAAAGTACGCGGGTTCGACAGAGTTAAACAAAAGAGATTATAATATCACGTGGAAGTAGGAAAATCAGGCGACACACATAATCGTGTGTATAAAAATGTATTTACGATTTACATACATACTAATGTGATACGTCTATCGACGCGTGCTCGCACACTCCTACACGCACGCACGCACGCACGCACGCACGCACACACACACCACACCACACACACACACACACACACACACACACACACACACACACACACACACACACACACACACACACACACACGTACGTC